ATCTCGCTGCTGACGCCGCCCGGCGCCTGAAAGCGGGAGCGCCTGGAGCAGCAGCGGATGCAGACCCGGGAGGAGCATCACCATCCTGCGTGCTCCCAAAAGGCTCCTTCGTAGCGATTTCATGGCATTTCACTCAAAGGTTTTAGGCTTAGTGTTTTCTTCTTGCTTTGAAAACCCAGGCTGAAGCTCTTTGGGGTAAGTAAAGGATGCAAGCAGCAAAAGAGCTCAAAAAATTTTATGAATTGAAAACACTGGGCCAGATCTAAGAATTTTCATCTCCTGACATACACTTTAGCAGATAGACTCCTGTTCATTTACGTAATTACACTCCTATGCATTTACAGAATTTGGGATTTGGAACTATTGATTGTTGCATGAAAATGATGTAGATAAACTTCAGAGCGATAAACAATACATATATATATTTTTTGCATGGTAAGCTAGTGTAGGTCCTGCCTTGCTTGAGTATTAGGTGCAACAGTTCTTTCAGTCTGAAGAACAGACCCCAAAAGAGTTAGATCTGCAAATTCTGGTAGAAGCTGCAGCCATAAGGGCAAACGTTTTGAATCCCAACTTTAACTTTCACGTCTAGGTTTTTTTCTTTGGCACAGTTCATAATGCATAACCAAGCCACGGATTTGTTGTGCTTCCAGTAAGTAGAAGCGGTTCTGTTTCTTCATACCTTGCGAAATAAACCTCATTTACTCTAGACAGCCTTGAAAATGTAGCAATCGCTACGTGTGCAATATCTGAGTGGCTATGGGGCATTTTCTGGCGGTTCCAACATAGAGCGCTTTACTGTGGAGRTGTTTTGCTCTCCCTGAGCGGTACAGGGGGATGGAACTTGCTTGCTTTGATGGATGCTCACAGCTTGTTTTTCCTGCACTGAATATGCTGCATAAAGTGCCATTTTGGTTGCATTTTTATGAACTGTATCTGAAATAAATCTCCAGGTTTAGGTCTTTCCTTGTACATTCAGTGGAATAATATCACTGAATATCAGCATCAACAGTGGTAGGACCAAAACTTGTGGCTTTGTTGTCTGCTTTTAGGAGTAGAAAAGCAATAAAGGTCACTCAAATAACCGAATAGCTTTATGAGATATGAATCTCTTATCAAGAAGCAAGATACTTTCCTAAACTTAATTATTTCAGGTGTTGTTTTCCAGAAGTAATTATGCAAACTGTAATCAAGGCTGTAGTAGGCTGTAATCAAGCTAGCCTTTTCAGTAACTTRAAAATTCCCAAACAAGGAAATTCTGCCAACAGAGATTGATTGGAATATTGGGCATCCTGGAATGTTGGGGCAGCAACTGGTAGGTCTTCCCCTTGCTCACATCACTTTGTTCCTATCAGATGGCCTACAAAAGATCACAGTTTTCAAGTTTCACCGGCTCCATATACCATTTCTTTCGCTCACTCATGTTTTAGTCCTTGTCAGAATTAGTGTATTTATGTTTGAATGAGGATTAGTCAGATTAAAAGATGTTTCCCTCTCTTATTGATAGTGTCAGATTAATTTCCACTTTCCTCGTGGCATCTCACAGCTCTGCTAGAGCTTTGCACGCTCTGTAGAAGTGCTGTGACGCTTAACAGTTTCTTAAGGCAACTGCCAAACACAGAGTTTTGGTACTTGAGCAGCAGCCTGATTACCCGTGGAAGCCCGAGTAATTGGTTGGTTGGGGATATATGGAAGACCAAAGGAATTGCTCTCCTCGCTCAGAAGGCCGGTGGGATCCTGGTCTGCATGAGGAGGATGTTGCCAGCAGGTGGAGGGAGGGGATCCTGCCCTCTCCTCAGCTCTGGTGAGGAGCTCTCCTCAGCACTTGGAGTACTGGGTGCAGGTCTGGGCTCCCCAGGACAAGAGGGACGTGGAGCTTCCAGAGAGGGTCCAGTGGAAAGTGACAAAGATAATGAAGGAACTGGAGCATCTCTCGTATGAGGAGAGACTGAGTGAGTTGGGCCTGGTTAGCCTGGAGAGGAGAAGGCTGAGAGGGATCTGATTAATATGTATAAATACTTGAGGGGAGAATGTAGGGAGGAAGGGGCCAAGCTCTTCTCAGTGGTGGCCGATGACAGGACAAGGGGCAGTGGGTGTAAGTTGAAACACAGGCAGTTCCATCTCCATGTGAGGAGGAACTTCTTTCCTGTGAGGGTGCCAGAGCCCTGGAACACGCTGCCCAGGGAGGCTGTGGAGTCTTCTTCTCTGGAGATCTTCCCAAGCCGCCTGGATGCCGCCCTGTGCCCCGTGCTCTGGGTGTCCCTGCTGGAGCAGGAGGGTTGGACTGGATGATCCAACCTCAGTCATCTGTGATTCTGTGAATACTGAGGCTGCTCACATTTGTGCCTGTATTCCTCAAAACTCAAGCCAGAAGAGGTGCTGCTGATGAGCAGCTGCCCCGCCACAACTGCTCCTGGCGGCCGGGATGACTGCAGCATTAAGCAGTTCCCACTTATATCTCTCTTGGCTGATTGTCGCTGCGAGCGCCAAGTCAGATCTGTATCACGCTTGCTGCCTAAAACTCTTGTTGTTGCAACACTGAAACTTTTTCAGGAAATGGAGATAGTCACCACCTCCCAACGAATTACATATTAAAAGAAAAATCCGCAAAAATCCTTGAGCGGCTGGGGATTCTTCAGTGGAAATCTCAGGGAGGCTCTGGGGGTGTGAGCTGAGCTCCCCGATGCTGCGGGGCTGGGGCTGCGTGGCAGTTAAACTGCCCTCAAGAGTAAGCCCTGAGGAATGGGTGCCCTCCTGAGCCCTCGAGGCCTTGTCCTTGTCAGGCACAACGGGAGGGAGMACAGTGCTTTTCCAGGGGCAGCTTTGGATGTGCTCTTACGCTCGCAGAGCGATGGAGGCCGGGAAGGGATCGATCGCTCGGTTCCATCGGGGGTGGCCATTTTGGGGTGTGGGGCGGCCATTTTGGGGTGTGAGGTRCGTGGCCCCAGGGCAGAGCTGCTGCCCGCCCGCTGCAGCGACTGCCACGAAACCCACCTGGGGTTAAAAGGCAGAGAGAGGTTTCCAGACTCAACTGAGCTGTGGGTTCCGTGCGGCTGGAATAATCCTGTGCCCCCGTGTAAAGCTTGTCCGCCGTGGTTCTCACAGCGCTTCACAAAGGAGTTCGGCACTGTCGCCTCCCCTCTCTGTGCCCTTCGTTCTATAGCGTAAAGTGAGGTCACTCTGGAGACAAGTGGCAAAGATGGGAAGAGAATGCTAATATCCCCTGTCCGATYCTTTATGCTGCGTTTCTTCCCTAATCTGCCCCTGCTAGCAAGGCCAGTACGGAAAGCATTGTCCGAAGTAAGTATTTAACCTTTTGGAATGATGTTTTTGTTTGTTTGCTTTCCYAAGGAAGCCTTCACAGTTCATTTGAAAATACCCTGAAATATAAGTTCAAGAGATGTTAGAAGTCTGAGTATTTAACTCTGGGTACCTGTGCTCTATATGCTAGAAGGCTTTTTCAAGGTCAATCTCCATACAAGGGAATCTCAGGAAACCTTAAAAAATTTCCTTGGAGTTCCCTGTAATTTATCTATTGCAACATGAAATAAATGGAAGGTAAATCCCCAACTGATGCTTGCCGTGGAAGGAGATGCATTTTTTTTGCTGAGTCTTGTGTTGCTGTATACACTTCCTCTYTGTCTTTAACACCTGGAAATAGGATGGATCCTATTGTTACCTGTTGAAATAACTGCTTTTGGCACAAGACTGCTGTGAAATAAGCTGTTTTGCACCAGTATCTCTACCTTTGAAGGCATATCCTATGACTGGAGAGAGGGTGACCTCTTGCATATTGCTTGGCCTGGAACAGAAATTCCCTTAAAAAAATTGGAAAAAAAGAAAAAAGAAACTCCACAAAAACAGTATTACACAATGAGACTCCTAATTCCAGGACAACCATGAGCAGAAAAATAGAGTGGTGGTTGCTCCAAAAGTTACTGCTCTTATCTCTGAATTTAGTCTCCAGCACAATCTGTGGAAACTTTAAAGTTATCTTCTTTCAGTTTAATGAGCACTTAGGGGGGAAAAGAGTCTTTTGTTGCCAGTGCAGYAGATGTGTTTGTACCAGTTAAAAGTAATAATTGAATCAAGATATACTGAGATAAAAAAAGCAATGTGAATGCATGTATGGGCATACACACCTTATAAAAGGCCAGATTCTCATCCTTAACTTAGAGTTTCTTTTATGCAGAGTAGAGGTATCAATTAATAGAGAAAGATAGTAATCCACTTATGGGTGGCAGACTTCTGACTTTAATTATTAAAGAACTCTTGCTCTAACTGATTTTTTTTCACTCAACTAGAACTTGGGAAAATAGAGAAGTGTAAATGCTTCAGCGGTAGCAGATTAAAAATTGTGTTACTGGTTTTAATAAAGATCAGGATTGTCAAGGTTTTGAATAAATATAAATAGAAGGCTGTGTGAACACAAATCTACCTCAGATTTGATTTCAGGAACGTCCGCAATTTGAATTCAAATATAACGGAGCGGTGAAATTTAGAAATAGTCAGCCRCGATCGACCTAGGACATGTTCGCACTAGTGAGAGTCTCAGAGTGTGCTTAGATAGGAGCAAAGATTGGCTAATGTTGCTGTGTGAAACTTGTGTTAAAGTATCTGAAGAGCAAACCTTCACCTCTGCACAGTGAGCAGGGAAAGCTTGTGCCTTTCACCTGTTAAACTCTATTGAACTACTCGTTTGAGCTGATGGGAGAAGTTTAAAATGAGCTTTCAAGTGTATGCTCCATACCTGAGTGGAATGTGTTTGTTAAAAAATGTTTTTATTCTTTTATAGCAAAACATGCTCCATTGGCTGTTTAAAACAACCACCAAAAAAATCTCCCTTTGTGGTCATTTGCAAAAGCTGTCATTTTGTCTTTAGATTCCAGCTCTTTCCTTTTAACTCTTACTAAATTGGTTTAAAAAAATTAATAATAATCTGTGTTTAAGGCATKTTTTGAAAAATGAATCTAGCTTTTTTTTTTCTCCTGTTTCTGTAGGAAGAATCTTAAATCGCTTCTCGAAGGATATTGGCCACCTGGATGACCTGCTTCCATTGACATTTTTGGACTTTGTGCAGGTAACTCAGTTGTTACACCCAAATAATTCTGCACTGCATTTGGAACCAGGATTCCTCTGTGCTGCGGTGAAAATCAGCCATTTGTCACCAATGTGGTTGAGTTTAATGAAAGTCCGTGTTTGTGAAAGAAAGGTGCGGTCGAAATTTAATGTGTCAGTAAAAAGCTAACATGAGTAATAACTGGCAGGTAGGAGTGGCTATACACAGCTTGCTATTATGTCAGGATTTCAGTTCATAGTAGCTACATGCTTGGTAAATTGCTCCTGATTTGCCTCCAAGCAATCTGGCAGGCTTATTGCTGTTATAAGAAATATGTCCATAGTAAAGAAACAATCAACTCACATGAAAAGATAGCAGAGATTAACCTAATTATGTGTGTACTTCCACAAAGAATCAAATGCTTACCACACCAGTTTGGATTAAAATAGGTGTGGCTATTTACAAAGAAAAGATTAGTCGTAATAGGGTGAATATAATAGCCTTAATAGCAGCAAGAGAAGTAAGTTGCTGCAGACAAAAAGGATGGACAAAGCCCCGAGATTTTAATGATGACGAAAGGATAGAGGATTATACGTGGTATCATGGTGATTTTTACTGTTGGATCCGTTATTCTTTTGCTTCATAAAATGCTGCAGAAAGGAAAAAGTAAAACCATTTAACATCCTTTGGCCTAGGTTAGCAAAGATTTTAAAGTTGAGGTGTATGTTTCACTGTGAAGGCTTTACGATGCCATGTGCCTTTTTGGGGAAGAGGGGAAAATGATGTCTTTTATTGGCCAGGTAGAAACAAGTGGGATTTTTTTTTATGAGTTGCTGGCTTAGAGCAAGTATTACGATTTTGAACTCACATTTTTTTAGACTCTGATAAATATATATATATATATCTTCCCTGGTAATTAGACACCAACCTGCAATATGCTGCCCATTTTTCTGTTGTTTATGCTGATTCCAAACTTCCTGCAGTCTCATTGACCGTCCTTCATTAGGGAGACTCTTTATTTCAGCCCGTTGGGGTGCCTGCCTTTCTGGCTGGACGCTCTGGCTGTGCTTGTTGCCTTCCCTTTGCGTAGCAGTTGCATCCCCAAAGACAAAGGCACCTCTTTTGTGCAGTGGCCGTTGGCCATTAGGGCAGGCAGTGCAGAGGGGGCCCTGTCTGCCCATGTTTGTGCCCTTTGCAAGAGACTGGGCTGGAATTGTTCACACTGGACAGCACCCTGGGCCAGGGTGACCTCTAGGCCCTGTGTTCCTGAGATAAAATGATTAACACTTTTTTTTTTTCCTTAGTTTTGTATGTTTACAATAATGTGATGGCTGTTTTGCAGCCCACTTGCACGGTGTGCTTATAGCAAGAAACTGCGTGGGTGTTTTGCGTGCCCTGGCGTGTGGCTTGGAGGCATGCGGGGTTGTCTGAGGATGCAAAACTCGCTGGGAAAACGCTGGCGAACTTCCTGTACGCAGCGAGCGCCAAACCTGGCGTGGTCACGTCCCTGCTTCCCGCTGGGAGCAGACCCTGGAGCAAATGGTGTTGAGAGGGAGCCGAGGGCTCTGCTCCGGACAGCGCCAGGTGGGAGCTGCCCGGCAGGGCAGCAACGCGAGGCAGGAGCGYCCTTGGGTGCCAGGGAGCAGCTCAGCTGAGCTCTCTCCATACGTGCACAGCCCCTGGCAAAGTGTCACYCGTGCGGGGAGGCTGCTGCCGTAGGCGTGATCCCAGTCTTCCTCCGTGCTCGCCTTGTGCCAAGCGGGATTCTTAGGCATTTCCTGCCGTGCCCATTGCGCTGCCCGTTCCCTTCTGCGGGGCTGCCCCTAAGCTGTCGTTTCCAGCGAGAGGTTAAGGTTTGGGTTTTCCCAAAGTAAGAAGTCCCATGTCTAGTACCCCAGTAAAATGATGCCGTGTGTCAAGGCCTGCCCGTTCTGTTTGGCGTCAGAAGAGAAAACTTAGGCTCGTGCTATTGTTTAATAATACGCTGCTATCCACAAGACAAAAGCACTTCCTTGTTGGCAAGTTTTCTGAAACTTACTATTCTTGATTAGCAAGTTTGTTGATTCGTTGATGCCTTTTGAAATTCAATAGCTGAGATGTGTTATTTCTGAAGAGGCCCAGATATGTACAAAGGATAACTGTTATCAGTTATGATAAAGATCTTTTGTCCCTTGTTTTGTTTGCAGGTGTCTTTTATAAGACTTCCTATAATCCCTTCAGGAAGAAATATTTTCTCCTTTCTAAAAACAGTATTAGCTAAATATAAAAGCTCTGATCCCGACTATTGTTGTTGATTCTTTGAGAGACATTTCCCAACATTCATTGTCTAAATGGTTGTCAGGAGGAATCAGGCGCAACTTCATAAACAATGCAGTAACTGGTTCATCTTACTTGGGGTGCAGAGGCTTTTCTTGAGCGGATTTGCATTGAAGAAGTGGCCCTTTTTCTGAGTTTCTGCGAGGGCCGTGGTGAAGCATTCCTGCCTTTTGCGGTATTCGCGAGCAAACGCGCGCATCAGCGCGGCGCAAATAAACACCGTGTGACTGGGCACTCAGAAGCGACAGCAGGAGCCCGTTCAAATACCTATAAATAAATAATTAAAAGCTGCCACTTTCAGGGATTTCATCGTTGCGCGGAGCACAGATTTTAAGGCAAGGCTAAAAATTCATGACATGCTTTTAGAGTCCCTAATAAGATTTATACACTGTACTACAATCATAATGAGGATGATTAGTCTAGACAGCTATCCTGGATGGAAATTAATTCCTTAAACCAAAAAAATTGCATTTATTAGCTCTTCCATTGGGCAAATGAAGAGGAAATAGTCATTTATATTCAAGAGAGTGGGTGCTTGCTTTAGTCATTGGAACTCAGTTTTTGCAACAAAAATCAAGGCAAGCACAAAAATGTCTTGTAGACTTTGTGTGTTTTTCCTAGAATACAGCTGGATTTTGCAGAACTGCTGCTCAGAAATAGCTCTCAAGATAGCAGCTCTCACAGTAACTGCAAAGTTTACCTCCCTTCTGCCTGTCTTTCGTGTTTATCCTGTGCCAAAATACAGCCCATCAATCTTTGGAAGCATAATGGGGGGAAAAAAAGACAAAAAGAAAATATTTGGACTCCTCTAAACTGAGGCAATGATTCCTTCAGCTGAATCAGTGAATTTTAACAGCGTATGAGATATGTCCTGTTAGAGCAGCGACTAACAATTCATAGAAAACTATGTGTCTATAAGTTTTATAAATAAAAAATAATTCTCTTTTATGAGAACATATTTATGGCTGAATTTTACTGCAAGGCTGTTGACAAGCTCTGTGAGTAAGCACACGGTATAAAAACTGAAAAGAAACCAAAGGGTAAGCTCAGCATTTAATGGAGATATCTTAATGGTACAGTTATGCCCCAGCTCAAAGCTGATTAGAGTAAAAAGTAAAGTTTACAGGCCCCAGTTCTCTCTTTTTTTTTTTTTTTAAGTATATTAAAAAAAAAAAAAGGCTTTATTTAAGACTTTAAAAAAAAAAAAAAAGGTAAAAAAGGTAAAGTAGGGTAAAATGGCCTGGGCCACACCAGAAGGGTCCATACCAGAATACCAGTTCTTCTGTGTTTAAAAAAAAGAAAAAAAAGAGAGAGAGAGAGAGAGAAGAGAAAAAGGGACTAAATATATTGGTAAGATCAAGTAGTCAGTTCATGTCTGTGTGTTGACATTGTGTGTTGTGTGTTTTCTTTTTTTCTTCTTTTTTCTTTTTTCTTTTCTCTTTTCTCTTTTCTCTTTTCTCTTTTCTCTTTTCTCTTTTCTCTTTTCTCTTTTCTCTTTTCTCTTTTCTCTTTTCTCTTTTCTCTTTTTTCTTTCTTTTTTTGCTTTTTTCTTTTTCTCCCTTTCTGTTTTTTTCTTTTTACTCTTCTCTTTTCCCTCTTTCCCCTTTTTCCCCCCTTTTTTCTCCTTTCCCCCTTTTTTCTCCTTTCCCCGTTTTTTCTCCTTTCCCCCTTTTTTCTCCTTTCCCCTTTTTTTCTCCTTTGCCCCTTTTTCCTCCTTTCTCCCTTTTTCCTCCTTTGCCCCTTTTTCTCCTTTTTAACTTTTCATTTCTCCTTTTTCCTTTTTTTTCTTTTGTTCTTCTTTTTTATTTTCTTCACTTTCTAACTACTTACCTCATTGCTGGTGTTGTGATTAACTTCAACGCTGTTTCGTCTCTCTTTCATTTTCGTATTCAGAGTTGTGTATTTTTGACCTTTTTTTTTCCAACTAAGTTGCAATCTCTTCAGGTCAGACACTATTTGTATAAAGGCCAYTAAAGAACTTTCAAACCTTTAAGGAGGATTTAAGCACCTGCACCATATAGATATATACTTTTTTACTTACGTACTTGTTGGCTTAATCAGAAGGCAGGCCTGATAGCAGCATGTAAAAGATACCCACGTACAACTGATCACAGAAATGCTTCCTTTAGTTGGTTTGAACCTGACTGGCCTATAAAGGCCAAAGGGACTTACTTAAGTTAGGAGCCTTTCAAGGTGCTTGGGATTTTGTTAATCAGTTTTCTTTGGCTCCTCTGAAATGCAGCTGAATTTCCTCCGTGCTGCAGCCAGCTGCTGTTCCTCCTCCCGCGCTGAGCTGCGCGGGAACGCAGCGCGCTGCAGACTTCATTGAGCAGGGGGTGGCTTGGAGGTCAAAATGCCAGGGTTAAAATGCATATCCATCTCCAGCTCAGTGTAATTAAAATACACTACCCTGATCTGAGGAAAGATCAACAGTTAATTATAACTATATAAAGAGTGAAAGTCAGAGTTTCATCAGGAAATGCAAGGAATTAAGAATACAAGATATTCAGTAGTGTTTTATGGCCAGTAACCAAGATATTCCAAAGTGGCCACTATTTCAGATGGTGCATTTTTGAGGGCCCCCTCAAAGGCTTATCTGAAGTGTCTGCATCTTATGTCTTTGACATAAGATGTATCTGCAAGGTTRAGCATCTTTGAACTTGGCTCACAGGTGATTCAGCATGAGCATTCACGATTCTTAACTA